TCAAAGATATAGATTTATGTTTCAAGATCTTTTAATCGATGCATATCAGAAAGAGAATAAAATAATCAGAAAAGATAAATATGATATCTATTTAATTGATAGAACTGCCAAGAATACTCAAATTTTTTCTGAAATTCTTATTGATGATAAGTTGAAACTTGATTATTTTAAAAAGAAATTGAAAAGGGAAGAACAAATTAATGCTAAATTTAATTTCTTTATCAAATGTTTACCTGAAATTTGTTATGAATGAAAAGTTGAAAGAAATAGAAAGAGTGAAAAAGTTTCATTAGAATATTTAAAATCTCCTTGTGATAGTTATGAAAATAATGCTTCTAAATTATATTCTAAACATATTGTTTTTAATACTACTAATACTAAATACAAGAATATAATACATATTTTCAACAATTATTTAAATTCTAATCAGTTTTTCTTTAAAAACCGGTTAGAAAAGTAATTACATAAATTAAAAATGTATATCTTTTGTCAAGAGCTTTAATAGTTACAAGAAAATTTTTTATACGTTAATGTTCTTGATTATTCACTTTTTCAATGGTTTCAAAAAAAATATCATGAAACCTTAAGCTTAATCGTTGAATTTAATTATTTTTCAAAAAAGATTAAAACAGAAGAACAAGTGATTAAATTTTTATCTATTTGTAAAAAAATAGTTAAAGCATTGCATTATCAAGAAAATTACAAATTGTATACTATTAATAAAAATAAAATATATTAATAAATAATATTCAGTTATAATTAACCAAATAAATTTTTTCATATGTATGTGAAAATGATATGTAAAGATTTAATAAATTCTTATAAAAAACCAGATTTATTTTTTGTTTATGAAGCTGTTAATGCTTCTAATTATAAAAATTATTTGTTATATTTATTCTCTGTTTGTACAAATAGAGAAAAAATAACTATAAACATTGTTATAAAAGATATATTTTTAATATTAAGTTAGGGCAGTATCATTTATTACCTAATTATTTTTTATCAGAGGCTTACCCTCCTCCCCTTTTAATAAAAAAAAAAATCAGGTTCTTATATATAATTTTATCTTTTTTTATCCCCCTTTCCCTCTAAAAAATCATCTGATTTTTGTCACGTTCCTTAAAGAATGAGAGTAAAGAATTAATTGATTTGTATATTGATGAATTTAAACCAGATTCTTTTGAAATTATTAAAAAGCAGCCATTTGATTCAACAGAAAACCATAATTTTATTTGTTTATATTTCAAAACATATAAAGAACAAAAAGTAGCATTACAAGAATTAAAAGATAAACTTGATGAATTAAACAAATTAAAAGAACAAGCATATTTAAAAGAAAAAGAAAAAGAAATTATACAACAAATTAAAAAATTCTGGAAATGATATGATATTTATTCAGATAATATATCATGTCATTATAAAAAAGTTGTACAAGAAAATAATTTTGAGCTTGTTGGTTGGTATCGATCAAAGGTTAGAAGAATTTACAATAACATTTTAGTAACCCTAAATAATATTGAAAAGATTGATTTATCAAAAGAGATGCCTAAATTAATTATAGTAGCATGGGATACAGAATGAAATAGCCAACGTAGTCCTAGATATTTTCCAAAAGGTAATGAGAAATTGGATTACATATATATGATTCAATTTGACATATTTTTTTATAATAATTTTAAACCACTTAAAAGATACAATATCACAACATTACTGATAAACATGTCTCTTTTTTTTCAAAATATTCAGAAAAAATTTTATGTGATTTTAAAGATTTTATTTTTGTTAAAGTAGAAACTGAAAAGAAACTATTATTAAAATTTGCTAAAGTATATTATAGATTTAATGGAGATATTGAAATTGGATATAATATAGGGGGTTTTGATTGGCCAAATATATTAAAAAAAGTAGAATTACTAGAAATTGGAGATGAATTCGTTGAAAAGTTATTAGAAAAAAAATCTAAATTAATTTCAAATATATATGAAAAAGATATTTGTGTTGTTGATAAAGATTTAGATAGAGAAAATTCAAAGTATGAATTTGCAAGCTTCAATATTATAAATAGAGAGATAAAAGTTAATCCAATAGAAAATACAAAATGTAAATATTTTTATAAACAGAATACAATATTTGTAGATTTATTAGTCTAGGCTAAAAAAATATTTTAACAAGGGACGTGACAAAAATCAGGTGATTTTTTAGGAGGGGAGGAGGGTAAAAAATTTAAAATTATATATAAAGACCTGATCAAGATATATAGTAAAAGGGGGAGGGGGAGTAAACCTCTGATAAAAAAAAATCAGGTGATAAATAATACTGCCCCAAGAACTTAAACATATGTTAGATCATATTTTACAAATATGTGAATTAGAAGGAAAAGCTGATCTACTATATCTACTACCAAAAAATATAATAATTTATATTCTATATATGTTTATGTCACAGCAATCAAATATTTTTTCAATCCAGAACTTTTAAAAGAATTGGCAAAAAAGTTATTATTAAAATATAATATTGAATATCAAAAATGTTTAGATTCATTACTAAATGTTTCATTTGAAAAATTAGATGAATATGAAGTTAAAATTGCTTACTATTGTTCTATTGATACTCTACGTTTACAAGAACTTTTAATCAAACAAAATATAATTAGAAATTATATTCAATTAGTGGCCTTATCATATGTTTCTATTTCAAATGTATTTTTAAATAGAGTTGAAACATTAGTTTTAAATACATTTGGAAGATATGTTGCAAAAGCTGATAAATTATTATCAACAACTTGTAAAGAAATAATCAAAATTGGAAATAAATATGAGAGAGTATTGGTATTAGAAGTTAATAATAAAAATATCACAAAACTTGTAGCAGATTTAGATGTTAATTCATTTTATCCAAATGCTATAATTCAAATGAATATATGTTTATCAACATTAGTAACAAATGAATCCGAAGACACCTTATTATCAAAACTAGAGTAATAAGAGAAGCAGTAAATATATGAAAGAGCTGTAATAAAGAATTATACTTTAACTAGAATTAGAAGCACTTTTGGTATCAGTAGAATAACTATAAAAGGCTACTCGGTATAGAGAATATAAACCACTTCTGTATATTTAAAGATACCAATTTGGGCTCTAGTCAGGAGTACTTAAAGAGATTATATATTGCATTAAATAATTTAGAAAATGTTAAGATCTGGAGAAAACAAACTGATAGTAGCAGCAGAAGCCTAACTTGAGATACAAGATCAGTATATCTGAAAAAGTAAGTGAAATAGTCTGCAGTATTCATGTAATATACAGTTATATGAAGAGATACAAGCTGATAATAGACAGTGCAAATACAAGATAAGTCTAAAGATTTGATATATAATACCAATGCTTTCTATATGAAACTGGTAGTAGCAGCAGGTATCTGGCTTAAAAAATATATACAAGAGGCTACCTACTAGAAAAGTATATATTAGTATAAAGTAACTAATAATAGACATACCAAATTAGAAGGCTATAAGGGACTGATTTTCTTAATAAACCAATTTGAGAGTAACCAAGGTTTGATGATAAAATATGAGGTGAATATAATGGATAACTAGAAATAGTCTGAACACCAAATCCAGATATAATCCAATATATAGTAGAAATATAGCATACTTTGGTAGATTTAGATTATAGATAAAATTGTTTAAGCCTGTATTCTTAAGATAGATATATGGGGTCTTTCATATTAAAAGGGCCCATTTTGCAATTTTTTTGAAAAATGAGTTTTTATTAGATTCATATAAATTTTAACATGACTGACATTTTTTAATTATAAATGAAAAGCGATTTGTATAATAAGAAATAGAGATAATGTAAAAGAAAAATTGTATGAAGCTGTCTAAGGCCAAGCACAGTACGAGATTACCTGATAGTCACCTGTTACGTTTAACCAATCAAAATCGTAAAATTTGCTTAATCCCAGATCAGTCCGAAAATCAAAACAAATGATTAAACTCAGTTATCTCAAAATTGTTTATATTGCAAAATGGGCCCTTTTAATATAAAAGACCCCATATAACTATATAAAGCAAATACTTGATAAATATCTAATAAAAATATGAGACAAAACCTTATTTTAATATTAAAAAAAAAACTAATTTTTATTTGCAGTAATATTATCTAGTATTATAAAATTTTTATTAAAAATTAAATAACTTTAAAATTAGAATTAGAGTTAACTTAAGATTAAAGTAAGAAGTATTTATATATAAAATTTGATATTAAATACTTTTGTTTAGAAGTTTAAGTATAGTTTTTATAATAAAATTTTGAGTTATTAGATTTTTTTTATTGTTTCACTTTGTTTTAGTTATGCAAAATCTAGTAATCTAATTAATTTTCTATATAACTAAATAATATTACTCTAAAAACAAGTTACCAAAAGTTTTGTAAATAATACTTTATTTATTTTTTTAAATTATTTTTGACAATAATTTGCACAATATATAAATACTATATGATAGACTAATAATACTATATATAATAATATCTATACAATTTCTATAATACAATAAAGATATTTATTTATTTTGATAAAGATGAAACTTGTTCTTTAAAAATATAAAAAAATAAAATAATTAGTAAAAGCAAGATTTGTATATTAAAAAATATAATAAAACAGATAATATTAGATTTATATTTATATTTTAAACTAAAAAAAAATTAATAAAATATACAAGAGTTATATATTTAAATAAAATATACAAAATAAATTATTATAGATATTATTTATATATATTTATTATATACTATCTAGTAGTAGATAATAGATAGAAGAGGTGTGGCGACATAGCGAAGTGGTCAAGTTGTCACCCCCAAGTGGCAGATCAAGAATTCGAATCTTACTAGTAATGAAAATTCAAAAATTTTGCTTGTATTATAGCTAACTATATTCAACGATCAGTTGGAATAGGATATCTGTAACTATGGTCGCACTAGCAAGACTGGGAGGTCTGGGGTATTCATATAATATAAGGTTACACAAAGAAATACAAATTGATAATAAAGCGATACAAATACAAGATAAGCCTCTAGGCTATGTAAATCTAGAGAACTGCGAATATAGAAGCCCACTTGGCAAGTTCCAAGTAGAGAGGTAGCACAGATCTTCAACAGAGCTACTATAAAGATTAGACCCAAGAAATGGAACCCATGTGAACTGAACTGGATGAAATACGAGATATTAAAGAAGCGCCCATATTAACCAGACCGC